CCTCAGTTAGGCTTGTCTTTCGATGAGTTATCCGGCTTTTCCAGTTCGGCTGTCATTTTTCCTTCTTCCATTTGTGACCCAACACTTGTCTCTATTACCTGTACCATAGGCCGTGCCAAATCCGCACTAGCCAAATCAACCGGGCAAACCAGATGCATTCCAGGGGCAAACTCCGCCACAAAGTCTGCAAGAGCCTGAGCCTTGATCGCGGTACGCGGTTGGAACTTGATGTCGTACTGCCCCAATTCTACGGCCCATTTCAAAATTCTCCCTATAAAGTCTACCTTTTCAAAGAGCACCTTGAGTGGAAACTCGGTCAACACCACTATCGTGTGGGCATGAAAATAGTGTTCCAGTTTTCTGGAAGCCATCATCAGGGTCAGGGCTAATTTTTCTAGCGTCAGATATCTCGATTCAGCAAGGAGCAAGGTCTTGCTTACGTAAAAGATGGGAAGGTGCTGGGTGCCTTCAGCACGGACCAAAACCACACTCACCGCATGTTGAGAGACCACTAAGTAGAGATACAGTTCTTCGCCCGGCTGTGGTGTAACTAAGATAGGGGCTGAGGACAGGTACGCTTTTAGATTCGCCAGCACACGGTCACATTCGTTGTCCCACAAGAATTTGGCCTTCAAAGTTTTGAAGAAGGGCTTGCAACAATCTGAGGACCGACTTATAAATCTATTCAGCGCGGCTGCCATCCTGGCGAGATATTGCACGTCTTTCGTGGAGTTTGGTCGCCCTAGCTCTTGTATTGCCTTGATTTGGGATGGGTCGGCTTCAATCCCTCGGTTCGTGACCAGAAAACCCAGAAACATTCCAGTGCCGACTCCGAAGGCGCACTTGGAGGCATTCAAACGAAGCTTGTGATGTTTCAGTGTAGCAAACATCTCTGCTAGGTCGGCGAGGTGTTAAGACTTTCCCTTGCTCTTTACCACCATATCATCTATGTAAGCCTCCATAGTGCATCCCAGAAGGGGAGCGAACATCTTGGTTACCATCCTTTGAAAAGTTGCCCCGGCATTTTTTAGTCCGAACGGCATGACTTTGTGACAATACAGGCCCCTCGGTGTGGTGAATGAAGTGATCTCTTGGTCTGGTTCATACATGGCTATCTGGTGGTAGCCGCAGTATGCGTCCAGGAAGCAGAACCTCTGATGGCCAGCGGTCAAGTCCACCAGCTGGTCGATCCCTAGGAAGGGGAAGCTGTCCTTTGGGCACGCACGGTTGACTGTTTTATAATCGACACACACCCGTCACTTGCCGTTCTTTTTTGGAACCACCACCGTGTTGGATATCCATCGGGGGTATTGCACTTCTTATATTGCCCCTGCTTCCAACAAGTTCTTGACTTCTTCCGTCACCACCTCGGTGTGGTGCAAGGCCGAGCGACGTGTCCTCTGGATGACCGGCCGTGCATTGGAGAAGATATTCAACTGATGGCAAATGAAACTAGGGTCGACGCCAGGCATATCGTAAGGCGTCCAAGCGAAGGCTTCCATATTGGAAATCAGAAAGTCAACGTACTCATGTCGCTTGGCGCTGGACAGGGATGAGCCCAAAAGAAAGAACTTGTTGGGGTCATTATCGTCTATGCGCACCTCCATCAAATCTTCAACTGATTTCTCTTCGGCCTTTCTCCCCACGTCTTCCAAGACCTTCTTTCCCTCCGATCCCTTTATCATTTGAACGAACCCTTTGGCAGCTCGGCTGTCGTTCACCGCAACGAAACACTGTTTCGCCATCACCTAGTCTTCTCGAACCTCTTCTATTTGCCCGGTTGGCGTCGGGAAGCGCAAAACCTGATGGTAGGTTGATGCTACGGCTTGCATAGCGTGCAACCAGCCCTTGCCCAAGATTAAGTTGTAGGTAAATGGGACCTTGAGCACCCAGAATTCTGCTTGCTTTATGACCGAACCCGCCTTGATCGGCAAAATGATCTTTCCCACCGGCCATTCTGGCTGAGAGTTAAAGCCAACCAAAGGAGACGTCGCAGGGGCCAAGTCCTTGTCCTCCAACTTCATTTGCTTGAACGTATCGTAATACATGATTTCGACCGAACTCCCCTGGTCAATCAAGATCCTTTTGATGTTAAAGTCCTTGACGCGAAGAGTCACTACTAGGGCGTCATTGTGGGGCATCTAAATTCTCTCCAAGTCTCTACTGGAAAATGTGAGGATATCCTTCTCTTCGGACTTTCCTTTCTTTACAGCGGACTGAATGGAGAGCACTTCTCTCATGTGATCGGCTTTCTTAATCATCCCTCTCAGCTCGCAGACCCTTGCCGATTCAATGATGCCATGGATGACATTGATTACGCCTTAGGGCGCTGCCTCCAGGGCGGCCAGGTCGTTTGGCTCGGTTTGCCTCGGCGGGGCGGCTTTCATACCCCTATCTATGTACTGGTCCAAATGTCCCACCGCCACCAGCTCCTCAAAATGTTGTTTGAGCGGCAAGCAATCCTCCGTTCAGTGCCCCCGTTCCTCATGGAAGGTGCAGCGATACCTTGAGTTGAAGCCTCTCTGTGCATTCCCCAACTTTACCGGTCAGCGGACGAAGGGCTCACCTCGGATTTCAATCAGGATGCGGTAAATGGGGATCTTAAAGACAGTGGTGATACCAGTTCGCGCCTTCAATTTCCTCTTGGCGTCTTCCTCTTCATCATGGGGAGCGTTAGCTCGGTCGTTTCTGCGGCCTTTGTTTCTATCATCGCGGTTTGAGTTACGACGTTGATCTTTTGACCGGTCGTTTGGGCGGTTGTCCTCCTGCCCAACCGAGTGAACCTTTCCCGCCACTCTTCTATCCGCCGCGACTGGATTAGTCTTCTTGGTCGTAGAGGCGGCATCATCCTCCACACGGATGTATTCGTTGATCCGTTGCATCAAGAATTCCATGGTTGTGGACTGGTGCATTGTAAGTGAATCTCGCAGCCTATGATCGACTAGGAGACCTCGCTTGTATTGAGTAATCGCTAGATTGGTGGGGCAGTCGAGGATCTCGTTGTAAGTTTCCCAGTACTTTGCATTATACGCCTTCAACGAACCTCCAGACTCCATTTTGACGCCCAAGAGATGGTTGACCTCCTTTGGTATTCGAGTGTTGGTTTTGAATCTGGTGACGAAGGCCTCCACTAATTGCTGCCACCCCTCGATACTCCCCTCCGGAAGCCTTTCGAACCATTTCAGGCCCAGTTCTCCCAAGCTTGCCGAGAATATAAGGCACATCAAGACGTCATTGCGCCGGTGTCCAGCCATTACTTGCCGGTAATGACTCACGTGCATGTACGGATCCGTCTTGTCGTCGTACAAGGTGAACTTAGGCTGGTGGAATCCGGCAGAGAGTGGTGTACTCTCGATTTCTGGAGACAACGGTATAGCTGTAAGTCTCGCCAGCTCTTTGTCCATAAGCGCTGGGGCCACCATTCTGGGCGCTGGCATTGCCACTTCCTCACTACACCGGATTTGGAAACTTAGCCTCTGCAACGCCGGCAATCTCTGAGTCTCTTTACGGCGTGCCCTCTCCTCCAACATATCCCTTAGGTCTCTGGAACGGGTGGAAAAAAAGTATCGCGACGTCGACGATGGGCGCGAGGGACGGTAGGCGCTGTCGCGAGTGAGAGATTTACCCTCCTGTGGGTTGGAGTCCCCAACCCCATAGCTCCTGGTGATAGAGAGAGAATGCGTCCTTCCTTGGCTGCGACTGCCAGAACGAGGAGACGGGGTGCGCTTACTGAGGTTGTCCTCTCCAGCAACACCCTTTCCTTTGATCTGGCGCTTCAGCACCTCCATTTCAGCCGCCATCTTGCGAATGAGGGCGTCCTGATCTTTGAGTTTGTGCTCCAGGCGCTGTGCATGCGAATCCCCCCGCCGACGACGGCCCTCTGGACTCTTTGAGCGATCAGTACTCCTTGCGCGTTTGTCTCATGCACCTCTCGAAGAAGTCTCTAGGCCCGCCATAGTTGGAATGTTTGGGGGGCCTTCTCTCCGACGAACAGATTCTGGTGTGACACCATCAACGACAGACAGTGGAGTTTCATCGTTGTTAGCCATGGAAACGGTCGAAAAAACTTGAAGAGCAAGGTTTGTGTATCAAACTCTTCCCACAGACGGCGCCAATTGTACGAGGGTGAAATATCCTTTGCTTTCCGTACTCCTAGAACTAAAGCTTCACGTAACGACGTCTGACCTGGAAACAGAGAAACGGTGAGCTGCCCGGCGGTGTGTTTCCCGAATAGCCCGCCGACGATCAAGTCAGAGCACTTGAGGGAGAAGAATATTGTTTTTTAGAGAGAGAGTCGTTCAGATAGCATACCTCCAACGTTCCCATTTCTTCCTTTTCTAGGCTGGCCATGCAGCCTCAGGGATTATGCGCGTACTATCTCTGCTGTCCTTCCCTAGACAGGTGGCAGTGCTCGCCTCTCACCACCATACGCGTGTAAAGGCCAAAACCTCCAAACAATACATGCAGAACTGCCAAGCAGTATTGATGAGTGCTTGGAGCGGGTTTCCCCTCCATCACATCATTGGTCCAAGTGGCACACTCAACCGGGATATCATGACCGACCTATCCCTTGAAGAAACACAACTACGATCAATACGGCCGAGCTGTAAGAAGTCAGTTCTTCTGGATTGACTGGCCGTGAGGCGCACTGGCCTTCGCCCCGGTCTAAATTCATTCTGGGCTATGCTTGGCGCGGCTTCGATCAGGAACACGAATGCCTAGCCGAATCACAGCTCGGTCGGGAACACGCATGACCCCATGCTCCGATCGACTGATCTAGCTCGGCCCGACGCGACGGCCCGTGGAGCCACTCCAACCGAGCAAACGATGTGACTCGGCCACCCGCTATAACCCGCGTTATCGTAGCTTGGCCGTACTTGTCCGGCGCAAATCTCCCTTTCATGATCCAAATTAAATATTTTATAATCCAAATAAAATAGTACTTATACTAAAATAACCTAGACTATTTTAAAACGCCAAACAAAACCTAAGTCAGTTAAGCAGTCGATTTCTAATGCCACTATCAATTGGTTGATTTCTGATATACATTTTTTCCTCCAATACTGTCAAGTCAACTTCTAATCCCTATCAATTGGTTGATTTTTGATCTACATTTTTCCTCCAAATACTTAACCCAATTCTGGAAGTTCAGAAGTGATTGTGAATTTGCAAGTACACATTGAGTCCACTCTTCTTCTCCTCCTCACAATGCAATCGAAGAGTCAACAACAAAAACAACAAGAACAACATCCATGGCAGATCAAAGTTCATGCCAAGTACAAACTCTTCGATTTCAAATTCAATGCCACCAACACTTTACCCACTTCCAACTCATCTCCATTTCCCATCAATCTCAACCTCAATCTCAGTCTCTGTCCTTCTGTCTTCCAATTCAAGAAGAAATCAGACCCCCAGCTTCCCCTTCCCAGGAAAGGAAAATCCTTCAAATCCAAATTCCTCCGCTTTCTTGGGAAAATTCGGCCTCCACACACCAAGAAAAAAGCCTCTTCTGTCAAGCAAATCTCAAATCTTGGACACCCAGAACCTCATTTTCCAGTAAATCAACCCAGACAATTTTCTCATGAGGTATAGCTTTATGGGAAATTAGTAAAGCAAAAACTGTGTTTATTTTTGTGTTTTTTTTTTTTTGCTGTAAAATTACTTTTTATAAGCTTTCTGCTATTATTTTTTGGGCTTGTATTGCTGTAACTTTATAATCTTTGGGTTAATTTCACTTTTATCTTCAAATTATTTATTTATTTTTTGGCGTTTCATCTCTAAGCAATCAAATATCATGTATTTAGTCCTAGAGTTTCTAATTGAGGACGATTGGTCAAATCAATAATCGTTGAAGCCTAATTTGATAGGCGAAAAAATCATTTTAAAATTTGAACAAATTAAGAAAGGGATAGGATGAGAGAGGACGAGAGGTGGAGAAGAAAATGGATGTTTATAGTGCGAGTAAGAAGATTAGTGTTTGGTTATATGATTTATGTTAATTATTTTATTGCACCTTAGGTTAAGTTCACACCAGTATTAGCTAAGACTAGTGTTTCCAATTGAACCATATTAACTAAAATTAGAAATTTTAAGAATTAAATTGATGAAATTGATTGTTTGTATATGAAATTTATAAGTGAATTAGTCCTACCTAATCTCTATGCTGATTTTTGCAATTTGACATATGTGATTGCAGGAACCAGTGTTTGTCAGTTCCATTGTCATTGGAATCATTGCTTTTCTGTCCCAATTGATCTCTCAGAAAGATCATAAAGGAATCATTTTGTGTAGTTTGATCATCTTGCTTTACCTTTCTTCAATTTTCAAGAAACTTGTTACAATGAGAACAAGGAATGTATTGGTTATTGTAATTGTAGCAATGCTCAGTTGTGCAACTGGGGTTTATCTAAGCAACATCTTCAAGATTAGTGAAGGCTATGTTTCAGATTGTGTTTGGAAAGCATTGAATTATTCACTCAAACTCTTCTCCTTTTTTGCCCAGGTAAAATTCTAGTTCAGATGTGCTATGAACACAAAAAAATTTCACATAATGGGTATAGATGTGAGATAAATGATTGATCACATATGTGGAATTCACCATTTGTCTCGTAACTGTGTCTTGTTTTGTGAAAATCTTTTGTACACTTGGATTTACTCATTTTAGTTACGTTTTTTGGAAAAAGTTTAGGAATAAAAAATTTAGCGGTGTCACTTCATGTTTTCCAGGTAATCCACTCAAGGTTTTCACAGTATGTTGGGGATCAAAGAGGGGACGACTATTGGGTTACTTGACCTCCTAACCCCTTCATTCTCATGTATTGGTGGTTATTGCCAAGCCATTCAAATGTTGAGGTTTGTTCAGTTGTGTTTTTGTCCTTGTTTTTGTTTTTTTTTTAAAACACAAGGTCTGACTCTTTTTTCTAAAATAGTTTTTAGTGGCAATTGTTGTAACATTTTATGCCTTCTCTAATGTTATATAAAATATCCAGTGCTTATGTTTTAATACATATGTATGCCTGTTTGATAATTGTGTTTTGAAAAGAATTCTGGCTGGACTAACAGCCCCCGTCACTCTCGTTCACAAAGTGTTTTAATTCTTGGTATAAATTACTATAAAACTGGGCGAATTAAACTATTAATCCTTATAGTTTGAGAGTCGTATTACTTTAATTCTTAACTTTTTAATTATGACACATTTAACCTTAAATTTTAAATATTGTTTCAAACAAAGACAATTGTAGATACTATTACTTAATTTCAAGGGTAAAATCATCAATTTGATAAAATATAAACTAATTTGATAAAAATAAATATCAAAAAAATATTTTTTTAATTTTAAAAAATTATTTTTACTTATCAAAGATAAAATTATGTAAAATTAATAAATTTTAGACTTTTATTTTTTTATCAAATTAATTTTTATTATATGTTTGGATGATGATTATGTAATAGGTGGTTGTTAGGATTTTAATGTGTAATCGATATATTTAATATATAAATATCTTTAGTTTTGGATTTTTTGATTTAATGGATTGGTTCAATAATGATATCAAAGTTGTCTCAATATTTGACTTTTGAAAAAATAAAAACTAATTTAATGAAAATAAAAACAACTACCAATTACGTGATTATCATTCAAACACATAATAAAAATTAATTTGGTGACAAAAAAAACTAAATATCTAAAAAAATTATCAATTTTACATAATTTTATCTTTGGAGATAGAAATAATTTTTAAAAGTTCAAAATATTTTTTTGATATTAGTTTATATTTTAGACTAATTACTGAAAAGTCCTGTTTACAAATGTTATGGTAACTCAAGTCTTATTTAAGATTTTTTGAACCAATAAGTTTTATTTAGTAAAACTAAAAATATTATCAATTTTTGTATAGTGATGTTCCAGATAATTATTTCACTAACTGATGAAAAAAAACAGAGCATGAGATTAAACGCTTTTGATCTTCTACTTATTGGTTTGATACAATTATCTAATAAAATCGAGAACATTATCCATTTTTTTTTTAGTTTTAAAACTGAGAATATTATCACTTTTTCATTTTTAAAATATTTTATTTTATTTTTTATTTTTTCAGTTTTGCACATCAACGTTCTATCATAATGATCCTAAAATATTCAGTTTTGCATAAAAAAATAATTTTTTTTTTCAATTTTTTCAAAAAAAAAATATTTTGCTTTTTTTTTTTGTACATAATTTTTTTCAATTTTTTTTTTTTTTTCAATTAGAGAGTTGATATTTTAAAATTTTGAAAATCAAAATAAATGTCAAATTATCATATTCCTATATAGATAATTATAAATGATGAACAATCATTATTTGAAGAGCAATTCCAACTATTAGAAATTTAATGATACTTGAAAGTCAAAAAAATCTTAATTGGGATTTAATGGAGTATAAGTTTATAAATTAAGATTTGTGTGTAAATGTTTCTATATTTTATTAAATTAACAATTTTGCCCTTGAAATTAAGTAATAGTATCTTCAATTGTTCTTATTTAAAATAAGATTTAAAATTCAGACTTAAATATGTTACAATTGAAAAATCAAATACTAAAATAACATAATCTTTAAATTATAAGGATTTGCCCAGCAAACTATGTTTGGCATATTGCACAATGACAAAGAGAAAGAACCCAACAAAACACAAAAATATCTATACATAACATGATGCACAGTGACAAAAATAACGGGAGAGGCAAGAATTGAACTCAAGAATCAAGGGGTATGTTTGGTTTGATTTTGAGAGAATAGTTTTTAAAAATTATTTTGGAGAAAGAGTTAAAAAAATTTTTTGATTTGTTTGGTTGTGTATTTTGAAAGCAGTTTTGGAGTTTGAGAGTTTGGAATGATTTGATATTTTGCTATAATTGAGTAGATGTGTGTGAGAAAAAAAAGTAATTGAGAAGGAGAAAGGAGAAAGAAAAAATAATTGATTGATAGGTAAGAAAGAGAAAGTGATTTTGAAAATTATTTTGAAAAATTTACAAACCAAACAAATTTTTTAAATTTTTTTCCCCAAAATCACTCTAGAAATCCAAACCAAACATACTTCTTTGGAAATCAAAACTCATGTTACTAATTAATTATCTTAAAATTTTGAACTGTTAGGAAATAAAAGTTTCAAAATAATATATATATACACTCAGATCATATGATTGTAAATGCAGAAGACAAGGCCTTTTTTTATTTTTTATTTTTTATTTTTTATTTTTTATTTTTTAGAGTATACTCATTGATAGCCATAGGTGGATAAAGAATATGACAGAAAATGAAACTTTTATCAAGAGATTATAGACTACAGTTTTTAAAAGTTGCTGTTTGTTGGGAGAGAAGAGGAATGAAAATTTCACTTGTTAGCGCAACCTCCATAAATTGAAAATTGGTGATGAAGAGCCACTAGCTCAAGCAATTTATATGACATAAATTATGAAGTTTGTTTTTTTGACTTAAAACACCATATTACTAACCTTAATAAGGTCAAGTTTGGGAAGACTAAATAAGTGTACTTTTTGTCTTTTTGGACTAAAAAATTGAGATTGAAAATATGGATGTTTGGGTTAACTTTTTGACTTTTTATGGAAAAATGTGTAATAAAAAATTGTAAAAATTGGTTTGTAGAGGAAAATTTGAATTGGGAGTTGTGCAGCCGTAATTGTTGACTTTTGGTGAATAGTATTAACTTTTTAACTTTTTGAGTAACTTTTTGGCTTTTTAGCTTATTTGGGACTTCCCAATTCGTTTGGAAAAAGTTAAAATAATTTAGTTTTTTAATTTTTTAACTATTTCAACATGATTTTTTTAGTCTCGTTTAATTTTTGTTTTTGATTTTGATTTTTTTGACTTTTATGAGAGAAAAAATATAATGATTATAGTTTTAGACTAAGTTTGGCATAAAGTCAAAAAGCTAAAAAGTTACTCAAAAAATTAAAAAATTATCACTATTCACCAAAAGTCAAAAAGTACGGCTGCACAACTCTCAATCTTAATTTTCCCCTACACACTAATTTATACAATTTTTTAATACACATTTTTCCATAAAAAGTCAAAAAGTTAACCCAAACATTTTTTTTCTCAACTTTTTAGTCTAAAAAATTAAAAAGTATACTTATTTAGGACATTCCAAACAACCCCTTAATGTAATCAAGTTTATCTTTTGTACTTTTTTTAACAAAAAATCCATTGCCAAACATAGCCTTTTGGCTTTGTTTGGGAAGAAGGATTGGGATATTTTAGGCACAAAAAGATAAAATAGATTTTTTAGTCTTATAAGACAAAATATCACATCCAATCCATAATTGTTACATTTTTTCTCTCATAAAAAGTCAAAAAGTCATTCATAAACGAGACTTTTTAACCCCAGGCTAAAAAAGTCAAAAAGCTAACTCACTTTCCAAACGAACCCTAGGCTACTTTGGTTATTTTAATCATAAAAAAATAAAATAAACAAAAAGTTAATAAGATAATCTCATTCAAACCATAATTGTTTTATTTTTTCACTCATAAAAGTCAAAAAAGTCAAAAAACTTATCTAAAACGAAACTTTTGGGTGATTGGGAAGTTTCTATTTTAGTAGATTATTTTAGTTTTTAGCTATTTTAATAGGTTAAAATTTTTGTGTTTACGGAGATAATTAGATTTTTTTGTAGTTAGATGTGATATTTGTGAGAGAAAAAGTGAAATGATTATTGATTTAATGTGACATTTTGTCTTATTGATTATTTTGGTCTATTTTGTCTTTTTGTGAATTTTAGCCCAAAAAGTCAAAAAATAATCTTCGCCAAAAAGTTAAAATAACTAAAAAATTAAAAAGCCAAAAAACAACTTACATTCCAAACGAAGGCTTAGAGGTTACTAGCTTATGACTTTTACCCTTTTATTAAGGGTTCGTTTGGCTATGTGAGTTGGGTTGGGTTGGAACTAAATTAGCAATTAAAAAATTAATAAGATAAAATATCACATTCCAATAATAATCATTTTATTTTTTTTAACAAAATTCAAAAAGTCAACCCAAATTAATATGATTCAATTGGAGACACTAGTCTCAATTTTTTAAAAGCTCTTCAAAAAGTTATTTTTAAAATAAAATTTCAAAATACAAACCAAACAATTATGTCTCCCGTGTGTTTGGTGAAGAAGAAAATGTAACTTTGCAATGGTGCTTGAACCTAGAAGTTAGAAATTTGTTGGTTGGCTTAGTGGGTGACGGCTTGGGTTTGGAGATTTGCTCCCTCTCAGGTCTCAGATTTGAATTTCCTAACCAGCAAATGCATACCTTGAGGTCACGGACTACAGAGCATAAGTCCTACTTCGAAAGGCTTGTTTAGGTTATAAAGACTTAGTGGTATGTATAAACTGACCCAAAATACCCTACCTGAGAGGGTAATTTATACTTATAAATTGGGCCGAGCTGGGTAATGGGCCGTTATGGGCCACGTTGCGAAGGACTGAGTAAAAAGGCCATGAATTTACTCCGGCTCAAGAGAGGTGTAAAGTTACTCCGGCCCAAGAGAGGTATAAAGTTACTCCGGTCCGAAAGAATCTTGAGGTTACTCCGGTCTAAAGGAAGCTTTGAACATAGCCCGGTTACCGTACTCAAAGTTAGCCCGGTCTTGGCTTATCTCGGTTATATCGGCCAGAACCTTGCTGTTTGATAGCTCGGTTTGATCACACCATGATTGGCACTAGGAGAAACCTGGGTAAGAGCAATGAATGGAAGAGCCGAACTAAAGTTAGCTCGGTTTAGTCTGCGGCTTAGCATAAACTATGCTTACCTCGGTCATAGTGGAGTCAGACCATGGTAAAACCATTTCACTTGGTTTAAGCAGTGAGGAGGGTGTTGAAGGATAAGCATTATCTTTCGGGAGTATGAATCCTAGGAGGACTCTACATGGAGGAGTAAGAGTCCTACTTGGATTGTACCACACGGAACCTATAAAAGCTCACAAACATCACCTAGGGAGAGGTAACACAACTTTGATACA